GTCATTCTTGTATACTTAAAAAATTGTTCGGGATCACCTACTTTCATTCTTAGAAAATTCTTATAACCGCCTACACTTTTTCTTTGTGTATTGATTGGTCTCATTTGTACCTTCTTCTTGTCATGTTTGTGATGATAATAGATGAACTCAATAGAAGTCCAAAAGCCCCCATGAGCTTTTTTTTTCGATCCATTATCTAGAATACTAATTAATCTAAACTTTGCTACCTTTTAGATTCGCAAAACTTTAACGTAACCTCAAAATCAAATGTCAAATCATCTCGTGGAGCAGATTTTTAAATTACAGGCTGCACACGTGCCCTGCTCATGAACTGTTGACAAGTTTCTAAAGGGGAACAGTAGTGCTACTGCTGCGGCTGCACGTACTGCAACCTTAACAGCAACTGCTGCTGCTGCGGATGAGTTTATAAATTCGGCTTTGTTGAAATAAAACAAATGAATTTAGCATCTAGCAAGAGGACGACTGTTTTAAACCATACAATGATTTAATTAATCGGCATGCATTGTATCTACCTTGTACGTTCACTCCTTCCGGAATACAGGTTTTTTCCGGTAAGCTATTTTGACGTCAAATTGCCTAATTTCTAGGCCCCTCTGGGCCACAATTGCAACTAGAGTGCGTGTACTAAGTCATACCTTATGACTGGGGAGAAGGTTTCCGAGTAATCTCTGCTTTCTTTCTGAGATTAGCCTTTTGCACATAACCGCGCCTTGTATTTTCTGATTTCGCCTGTTTGCTTATTCTTGAAACCCACCTTTAACCAATGGGTTTTTGTCTTTTGGACGTGTCGCAATCTCCCGTGTTCCGTTTTTGTCATGGGCTTCCAATTATAGTTCAGTCGCTTTCTTCCATGCGTCGGAATTTTCGCCACGTACAGCTTCTTCGTTCAGGGGTTCAAAAGTTCTGTCAAGTTGACTTCATATCTTCTAGGAACAACTATATTTTTTCTGTTGCGAAGCCGGTGGCCGACTGATCTCTTCTTAGTCCTGATGTTTCATGGGTACTTCTCATACTTCGAAAATGCTCAAGGATTCGTCGCCTTCAGCATTCCTCTTTCTCTCGACTGACGAATTTTTCACCACCGGTTCGTCGAATGTTACATTTCGGCTGACGGTAACTTTTCATATCCAACTAAGATCAGTTTCTTAGCTTTTGCGTCGAGTTTGCTTCGATGGATATTGGGAATGTGACGTATGCTTTGAGCCAAAAATTCTAATGTGTGAGAAACTGGTTTTCTACGTATCCACGCTTCATATGGAGTCGTGTCATTCAGTTGGGAATTTGGGGTTTGATTCAGCACATACACGGCTGTGTTGACGACCTCTGCCCAGAGGAATTTCGGGAAACTGGAGTGAAGGAGCATTGTTCTCGCCGTTTTGCTCGGGGATCTTTGGAGCAGTAGTCTCGAAAAATATCCCTTCTTTGTCCAAGCATCTCATCGTCTCTTGATTGCAGAATTCTCCGTCGTTTTCTGTTCGCGGACGTTTTATAAGTTTATCAAACTGATGTCTGTTATGATCAGTTTAGTTTTATAAACATAAATTTAAAATTTGCAAGAACGTCCAAACACAGTCCGCTTCTATAGGATACTCAACATTAAAGGCATGATACACCTCGAAGCAGACAATTACTGTCATATCTTTAGACTGTTTCTTGCTGTACACTGTTCGTACCTTAACGACAGATTTTATTTGCTTCTGTTGACCGGTGGTTTGTTTATTTTTCTGTACTGGGTGCAACCATGTTTTATTTCGAGGTATCAATCCTGCAGTTTTTGTTTCCATGTTTTCTAGAGGTCGGTGATCGGCGGGGTTTTTGTGTGACCTTGACAAGTCCTGCATATCAAATTTAATTTCAAATTCTTGAATTTTCGTCAATACGCTTTTCAGAGTTTGGTCTATGTCAGATTTTAACCTCTTCAATTCCTCGTTCTTAGTAGGACTACTATTTTCTATTGAGGATGTTCTGTTCAAAATATAGATAACGCTGTTAATCACCTCAGCCCAAATTCCTTCCGAATACGTCACCTCTGGATTTGAATATTTCAATGTTCTCGCCACAGTTCTATTGTCCCGTTCACAGATTGCTCAGGAGTGTACGGCGCTGTTAACCGTTGAGTAGTTCCATTTGCACGTAGAATAGACCTTCTTCATTGTCAAATTCTCCTCCGTTGTCACTCAGGAGCTCCTTCACTGAATGCTTTAAGGTCTTTGTATGCATAAGACTTTCTGTTTTTCAGAATGACGTTCATTCTGCACTTCTCAACTAGACTGTCTATGCTCGAACAGACTTTGTGACCGATTTACCCAAAAATTCAATACATTGGAAAATACCATGCGCACCCTTGCAAATTAAGCACATAATTTTTGCCACGACATTTGTTGATAATAAATTTTGAGCTGGCCTTTGGGAAAATTTAAACGGTCGCTTCACTTGTTTAGAATAAGTCGAACTAAATTTTGGTTCACTATTGTTACTTGAATATTTCATTGCATTTAAAGCCTCTAATACTTGCTATCTCTTTTCTAAAAATTCATTAAATTTTTTATAGGTAGGGAGATCCTTATCCAAACCGATTTGCCATTCCCGCCTGGTCGCGAAGTCCAATTTTTCCATAGTTATAGCGATTAAAAGCGAATCCCATGTTTCTACCGGTTGGTTTAACACCCTTAACGCTGTGATGTTATTATTAACTGTATCAAGTGATTGACGGAGATCTGAATGTGAATGTTTTAATATATTGGGAATATTCAAAATGTTGTTTATATGTTCCTGGACAATAATTCATTTATTTTCAAACCTCTGCCTTAGTAAATCAATTGCACTAGCATAATTATCGCTTGAGACTGTGAGACATTCGATAGCTCTGAGCGCTTCGTCTTTTAAACACCCGCGGAGATAATGAAATTTTCTAATATCAGAGATAGTTGTATCATCGTGGACAAGTGATTTGTACGAATCATAAAATGTGAACCATTCACAGTGCTTATCTGTGAATATCGGCAAAAGCAATGGTTTTAAATTTGTAACTAACTCCGACCTATCTATAGAACTAAAATTATTGAAATTAATAATTGTCGAGTTTGTTTTCTGCGACGGGTTTGATGTACTAGGATTATTTTTCATTATTAAAGATTTAATCTGACCTGCGGTTTTATAAAACTGATTCTCAACCCGGGTACGTTCCCTGTCATTTTCTACGTCCCAAGTTTCTTCATCTTTACTAGTGTCCTCGAGTTGCAACAATTCAATTTGCGCTTGAACATCGTTATATTTTTGTAAAGTGTCTGTAAGGTTATTTAAACGCATTTCCAATTCCTGAATACCGTCTTGTTCGCTGATGCTGTTTTGAATTCGCGTTATCATCCCCTTTAAGATTTTACGCTGATTTTTGAGCTATTTTAAATTGTTTGCCATGTTAATAATGGGATAAAAACTGCCAAAAATGCCGACGATTTGCAAAGAGTAGTAGGCAAACGTATCCGAACTACCGTATAGAATATAACGGCGAAACTTGTTTGAATACGAATAATGTGAAAAGTATAGGAAGGAAAATAGGAATCGATCTGATCTTACAACCACGTGAATGCTTCGTCTGTCTTCTGAATTTCGACAGTTCGGTCTTCCCTCGAATGAATTTTTGCCTTAAAGTAAGGAAATCACTGCAACGGTGATCGTATATTGTTGAATCGATTTGTTGTTTTGACTACTGCAATCTTTTACGAATAACAGTAAAACATCTCAAAAAATACGATTTGTTGAATAATGTATCGATGTTTATTGATTGGCGGTTACAGACAGACTCTTGGTCTCTTCGAAATATACATTGAATGTTAACAGTGAAAATGGTGGTGTTATATACGGTACATTGTAAGACACTCGATTATAACAAAGGATGTTTATTGATGATCCTGGATAATACAAAAATAACATTAATTCTCAAAGACATCCGTACTGTGTGTCTCGGCGGTCATGTTGCAGCTGTTGTCTCTTGCCAACCTGACACACCGAATACCTTATAATATTGTCACGACCGGGTCAGGGGGGAAGAGATTGGTAGAGCTAAGGATAATTACCCGATCCGACGTTAAGAATAAAAATCCCAAATACATTAAATAAACTAAATATATTTCAACTTACATTACAAATTCCATCCTTAGGGGGTACGGTGCGTCACTTCACTTCTCTCACTTTTTTCCTTCTCCCTGTCCCTAGTTAGTACCGACTGCCCCTTTCGTCAGTCCGCACTGCCCCCCACCTAAGCTTCCGTAATGTCAGCAAAAAGAGGTTTTTGCTGACATCCCACAAGCATGGCATGAGGCAATCTTTACATAACTAGGGCAACTAGCAGTTCCGTGACACATCTCCCCCCTTAAGGAACACTGGACCTCCAGTGTTTTACAAACAGATATCTCTTAACTAATACAATGCATAAAACGTACATAGCCACAAATTATCCATTTTGCAAACACAACCCTATAAAATATACAGTCATATTAGACTTCACTCCTACTTTACTTTACTACAATAACAAAGATACCCAACGATACAAAATTACATTCTTCTGGTCGACATACCCAGGAAGACCCTACCAACATTTTACACACTTGAATAAGACAAAAATTGATTTAAGGTATTTATCTTTTGAAGCAACTATTTTAAAATCTCTCGCGACAAGCGGCACTCTCTTACTAATTGCAGCAGTTGATGAGCGCTATTTTAACGTCCCTGCTTACTGGCCGAAGTCCCGTTCACCACCATTTCCTTTTTGGCAAAACTCAACCACTATGAGTCCAGTCTTGTTAACTGGAGTCTTCTTTAAGGAGAACTCGTCGTCGTAGAAGCTTGGTTCTCGAACGAGAGCGTCGTATGCGAGAGTGATGTTAGGGCCCTTTTTTTTTTTCCATGCTGGTTCTGTCTCGAGCAAGAACGCCTTATGTATGGTAGGTGTCTCCAGAACATAAAAAAAATTCATTCATTAGAATTACCTTATACTCCTACAAAATAGATAAAGCGAAGCCAGTACACAATATCTAAATAACTTTCTAAATCTATGTTCAATCTCCGATCTAAAATATAAAACAGTGGACAACTACTTATTATCTACATATAACCTATATATGGGTAATACATATATGCCTGCAGGCTTCAATCGACCTGCACAGATATTGCCTCAGCATTTGTCTAACGATCTTTTTAATCGAGAGTCCAAATATTAAGACAAGATCCACAAGGTGATAATATATATAATTTACGACGCGTCATCTACAGTTATCCTAACGGCTTCCCCCCCTTGTAGTAGAAGGGAGGTGGTAGGGTTACATGTTTGGTTGGGGGAGGCTATCGCTGGGTGGTTGGATTTCCAAAATATATATATTAATAAAACAGTTAAGATTAGATTCCAAACAACTAAAGTAGCGGATGTATGTACACCATAACTGTCCGCAAAAGAAAAAATTTGTGGTGATTCTGGAATATTTGCGACAAAATTTTGGAGAAGTTTATGCGGGGAGGTTAAATTTAAATGCGGAATAGTCAATGACCAATTTGGATTAATACATTCCGAAAAGTTGTTATATGATGGTAACGAGTGGGTATGAATGGGGTTAAGAATGAAAGATTTTAGATTCGACCACGCTGCTGAAGTTATGTGATTTACGTGGATGCGAGGGATAGTATCTAAGCAGGGAAAACGTCTAGGTATTATTACATCATGCAGGTAAACAAGTGCACACTGGCAGTGAAGTTTTATTTTTAACGCGCCCAATAAGCTTCCGAATTCAGTTAGGGTTTTATTACTGCTGGGACAACTTATATAAGCGCCTACCTTTAAATTTGTTATTATAAATAAATCCTCCTCGACTTCTGTGATGGTAAGCGATGTCGATGCGTGACATTTCATGGGGCAGTGATAACTTAATTCCTCCACTGTCGCACCTTCATATAATTTTCGTGCACACGTAGGCCCATGAAGTTTATCCTCTCCGAATCGAGGAAGAAAGCACAGTTTGTCGGAGTGCGGCCTGCACTGATGCAACCCCAAACCAGAAATTTGTCGGTACAAATTGTGCCTCCGGTGTCTAGTGTACAAGTGTTATGTTATTACCTGAAATTACACAATCTGTTATTGGTAACTGATAATACCTGTGTATATCCGTGACAGCAATAGCTAAATCGTGACCTGCTTTGATTAATTCCTTTTGAAGTTCCATTAAATTCGCTTGAAAAAGTTGGGGCCGCAACACCTTTTCTGGTATTTGGTGTTGTCGACATGACAGTTTTACGTCCCTTTGTTCCAACGCGCGCCACATTGTTACGATACGTCTAGTATTCTGAAATTGATTTTCTATTAAAGTACCGAAAAATCCTTCCCATTCATTCGTCTTGTTCCTAAAATTTGTGATGGATTTTTCCATTTCTTTAATCCTCCTCTCCGTGGATTTAAAAGCCTCCCCGACCTGATCTGTATATTTTTTAAATTCCACAGAATTTTGACTTGGCGTTTTGATATTTTCAGATAGGCCCCCCTCCAATTGTCGAAGTTTTTTCTGTAAATCCCTTTCTTCCATGTGCAGCGAGTCTAGTTTGTGTTGTGTTGCAACGCCGCAACACCAAGCCAGTCCCTCTCCTAGAAAATCCAGGCTGCGTTTTTCTCTGTGCTGTTGATCTTCAAAAAGCTGCCATCCTTCTTCCGACTCTTGTGGTTCCAGCTCGCCGTCAACCGCTTCCATTAACTGGTGCATAGCGGTCGCCAGCTCGCAATTGTGATCGCCACTACATTGTTTTGATGTGCCCGTACTGTTTGTTTGTGGTTTGAACCACGCCATTGTATACTTTATTGGTATGGTTGCCTCGTAATTCAAAGTCTCCACAAGGGGCCTCCAGAATGCTCCTGCCGACACTTCTATTTGTCCTCCAACGCAAGAATTTTGACTGATTAGTAAGATAGCGAACAGCCTGTAGGAAAGCCATGTTAATACATTTATTTTGAATTCGTTTTACCTTAAACTTAAAAATTGTACTATTTGTATGTCTTTTTCCGACACGCAGGCTCACACGTTTGAAAAGTTCTCGTAAACCCCCGTTAACAAAGCATACATTTAAAATAAAAACTAACACCCAACGCTTTTATATAGTTCGACAAAATTATCTCATTATAATGGATGCAAAAGTAGATCAATGAAAACATTGTTTATTTGTCGCTACTCACCTGTGGACTCCATGGATCATTATATTTTAAAAGTCGACTTACATGTACAACTTCTTTTTTCGAGCCTTTTCTAATCTCGTAATCCACATCCCCCATTTTTCTTATCACCGTATATGGACCGAAATATTTTAATAATAATTTTTCACTCTTTCCCACTTTTCTAATAGGAGTAAATATTTTTATTTTTTCCCCAGGCATGAGCTCAACGTGCCTATGTTTTTCGTCGAATCTTTCTTTATCAATATTTTGTTTTTTATAAATATTTTCGACAGCCCAGTTCCTAACGGCCAATGCCTTTTCTCTAATATCAAACACGTAGCTTGACAGCGGTTCCTGCAGAAGATTTGCCTGCGTAGGTAAGACTGCTTCTCTTGCATAGACAAGCATGAATGGAGAAAACTGAGTGGTATCTTGACGAGCTGTATTGTAGGCGAACGTTACGTGAGTTAAATACTGGCACCAGTCTTTCTGGCTGGTGCTTGTGAAAACGGCGAGCATGTCGGTGTACAGTTACAGTGTTGTAATCTTGTGAATTTATTTCTGAAGTGGAAATTGAATTTTCAAAAATATAAATATTAATAGGTGTGTCTTTGAAAATGTAATAAATCATACGGATAATTTCGGCAACTTTAATTTGGGTATTATTCACAGCTGGTTTTTGTAAATACATGTGTGTAATATTCTTCCTCGTTACTATTTGTTTTAGTTCTTTTAGAACGTGCCATATCATTTGATAGTTACTTGCCACATTAAGAGTAAAATTTAATTTATTATTAGTGGAATATATTTTGCGTATGTTTAATTTATTTTGTTCATTGAACAACCATGTGACACAAGGGTAACTGTTTCTTTGGACTTTCATGGTGGAGATGTTGCAACTAGTGATGGTGTCAAAAATGTCAAAATTCGCTTTTGCGAAGGTTTCGTATGTGTCTTGTTCTTGAAGGTCTAGGTCTTGCCGTGTCAGTAATTTGTGGTCGCGAAGTGAATCATGTATAGTGTTGACTTGTGTCATAGTTTCTTTCTGTCGAATTTGTGTCATTTCCGTGTTATTATTCCGTTTTATGATTGCACGTAATGTTTGCGATATGTCATCAACGCATTGTTTATAATAAGTCATTTTAGGAATGTCGACTAAGGTGTTGTTGTACCCCTTAACTGACCTACGTTGCGTATAGCTTGTATGTTGTGAAACATGAAACGATTTATTCAGTTCGAAAACTTTACCTGTCAGCATAATCGTGTTATCTTGTAAATTAATGATAGATTTTTCGTTGCATAAAAATTCCATGCCTAAGATAATTGGATAGGGTAAATTCTCCACGACGTATGCTGAAATGTTTTTTGTATGATTCATTACCCTTAAAGTCAGGGAGGTTGTACCTAAGATAGGAACTTTCGCGTTGCCCGCCGCTAATAAAAAAGACATTTGCTGCTGCTTGCGAATTTCGTTTTTCGGTATTATTTTGCTGACAACAACATTTGTTGCGGCGCCTGTATCTACAATTGCGGTAAGATGTTGTTTGTTAATTTGTACATTTAGGGTTAGCAGACGCGGAGGTTTGTTGAGGGTTGAAGTGCCGCTGCTTCTCCCTTTTTGCGTAAGGACGACTGGGAGGTTTAGTTTCGTCGTCCCTTGGCGTTTGGGTGGTGATCCTGTTTGTAATTGTTGCCACTTGTATTGTGCCAACATGCGCCTGCAAAATGTCCAATTCTTCCGCAATGGTAGCACCTTGGTCGTCCGTTAGAGCTGCGGGTGTTTGGTACATTTTTCTTGAAATTGCCTCCATTTAAGTGTGGTGGCCTACTATCAAATTTCCTAGAGTTTGTGGTAAATTTCGTATACTTATTCGCTTCTTCAACTTCCTGTCGGTCATGAAAGTACCCTTGGCTTTCTTTTGTTCGCTGTTCTATAGCGTCAAGTTTCGCAATAATTGATTTAAGTTCTGGTACGGTAACGTCATCTGGTTTTAGAATCTTGTAGTTGCTAAAATATTTATCGTGCATGCCTCTCTCGAATTGTTTGATAAATTTTTCGTCCTCCATTAATGGGTCCAGTTCATACGCTAGGAAGGATAAATCAAAAAAGTATTCTCTTACTGACTCTTCTCGGGTCTGTCTGCGGTTTTCAAATTTTCTTTCCTTGTCTTCCGAATAGTCCGACATTCTGTATTCTTTTAGGAATTCTTTCTTCACATCTGTCCAGGTTTTTGTAGCATTATTCGTAACAAAATTTTCGTACCATCTGTTCGCTATTCCTGACAAAAATGAGCCGAAATATGAAATCTTCAAGTTGTCATTCCACGCGTTGGCCACTGCTGCCCGCTCATAATTCTGGATAAACCGCTGTGGGTCGTCACGTTTTGGATCAAAAATTTCTGGACTAATGAAGCTCGGGATCGATGGATGTTTTTGGCTTGTGAATGCCTCGGTGATTGTAACGTTGGCCATTTTTTCGTTAGATGGGTCGTTTGTTTCTCTGATGTTTTGCTCAGTGAAGTGAGGCGATTTGTTGGGGATTGTTCCCGGTATTTTATCGAACGTTTGGTCTACTGTTTCAGCATTTTGTGAAGTTGGTGCGGACAATGTTAACTGCTTTAGGTTGGTTTCTGGTAATTCGATGGGGATTGGACTAAGCACAAGTGGTTCCGGATCTGTTTCTGAAGTGTCACAACCGCATCCCCCTAATTTAACGACTCCGTGAATATCAGAACTTCTGCTTTTTGGTTGAAACGAACCGTACTCTTTTTCTATACGGATTTTGTATTGCTGACGGGTTTTTGGATCCGCGGGGTTTTTATTATTCATAAAATAAGATTTTGTTTTTTCTTAAGATTTAAAAAACACTATATGCGCGAAATTTTGGGCGCCTCCACCATATGTCACGACCGGGTCAGGGGGGAAGAGATTGGTAGAGCTAAGGATAATTACCCGATCCGACGTTAAGAATAAAAATCCCAAATACATTAAATAAACTAAATATATTTCAACTTACATTACAAATTCCATCCTTAGGGGGTACGGTGCGTCACTTCACTTCTCTCACTTTTTTCCTTCTCCCTGTCCCTAGTTAGTACCGACTGCCCCTTTCGTCAGTCCGCACTGCCCCCCACCTAAGCTTCCGTAATGTCAGCAAAAAGAGGTTTTTGCTGACATCCCACAAGCATGGCATGAGGCAATCTTTACATAACTAGGGCAACTAGCAGTTCCGTGACAATATACAACAGGTGGGGGTAGAAAATGGGGTTGGTACCAGTGGTACCAACATCTTGACTGAACTTTCTTGAATAGACTTTCTAATAGATTTTCTGTTTCTCAGAATAACGTTCATTCTGCGTTATTCTTGAACAGACGTTCTGTTCTTTTTAATGTCGACATTAAAAGATGATGAAGATCTTCGACAACGTATCGATCGTGAGGTAATGTCTCTACGATAATATACGGGCCTGAAAACTTGGGCAGCAACTTTTTGCTTGTTCCCTCATTTGAGGCAAGAATTTTTCTTACCAACACCTGCTGCCCCACTGCGTATTGGTATTGGTACACAATATCCTTACCCCGGTTTCAAGCATTTGGTACGTCCTACGTAGATCTCTCCCTGGCATAGTGCACGTTTCACGATCTTAACATAAACGACATGGTTTTCAGGAATGATGACGTCATCCTTCACTTGTAAAGTGATCCTTTTCTGACTTTGCATTTCCTTACAACAAGAGCAACGTTTGCTTTGTTAAGGAAACTTGGCCCAATCATTATAATGATCTCTTGGTGTCGATCAGCGACAACATAGGCTTGTACTTCGGCCTTGGCAAAATCGACTTCGAGTTGGATTGTGGTGTCACCTAAAACTTGGGTGCGACCACCTCCGTAGCCCACAATCATCACTTGACACGTTGTTAAATCGACTTGCAAACTTTTTGCAACGCTTCTGTCAAGGCAACAATGCTACAGCCAGTATCTATATAGCCCCGAAATTGTTTCCCGTTTATCAAACAATCCGTAAAGTAACACTTTTGCGTATGATTTTTCCCAGTGTCACACTGCATTGCCTTTTTTGAAGGCAGGGGTCGTTTACAATCAGTGCTTTCGTGCCCCAAACGGTGGCATTTCGAGCACTCAAGACGTGGTTTAAGACAGTTCACTGCTATATGCGTCTTATCCCCGCAATTGAAACATTTAAAATCGCGGTGTTTGCCTTTAGTGTGATCCCCGTTGAATTCCTTATCCCGTTTAGGGTAGTTATGATGTTTAACTTTAGGTTCTTCTTCTCTTTTGAACGTTGACACGTCCCTCCTTTCTGTCAAGGTGGAGAGATAGTTGGCCCCTGCGGAGAGTAGGATCCTCGATACCATCAATTAGACACAGAATTAATATCATTAACCTCACACGCCCTTGCCAAGCCTAATTTTCCGAAATAATATTGTGTCCATGTCTCATCTTTCAGTTTTGTTCGGTTTACCAACGCCCGAAGTTTTGATGCAAAATCGCTTTGATTCGGAAACGTTTTAATAATAATCAAAGCTTTTCGCTGTTTCCACGAATAATGATAATAATCGGTTAGGTGATAATACCACGTCTTTGCTAGCCCGGCTAAACGGCTCTGCATGTGGTAAATCGTGGTCTTTTCGGTCCATTGGTTGATTGTCGCCAATTGGTCTAACTTATCAACCCAACATTGTGCTATGATCGTCAAATCGTCAAGTGAAAATTGCGGAATACAATCCGACTTCATTACATACGAATCACGACAGTGCATAACCTTGTCGATATAATTAACGTCTCCACCAAATGCTCTAAACGTTCAATTCGATCGTCTTTCAACGAGTTAAAATTAGAATGAGAAGTGCTTACTCTCATTTTTGGGGTTTGGCTAATTTTATTGATTCCGATGGGGCTTGTAGTACAACGCCCATTTCTATATGTAAGAAAGAACCGTTTCGTGGTAGCGTGCTTGGGGCGAAGGGCAAGGTATTACTTAATTAATTGAATCCACCCGTGGTCTGTTCCCGCAAATAATCTGGAAACTTTGTTTTTTTGTTTTCGGAACATTAATGAAGATCGTAATTTCTTTAACTTGAATATCATCAACAGACATTTGCGTAATCTCGTCCCGTCTTAAAGCACCGGCATAGGCAATTATTAAAATAACCTAAAAATCATTCACATAAGAAGTTTGTAATATATGAATATACCTAACTTACCTTCATGGCCAAATAATGCAGATCATCAGCTTCGCTTAAGAAGCGATGTATTTCTTCCGCTTCCAATACTTTAGATTTTTTCGGTTGGTAGCCATCAGAATTAAATGATCAAAGGAACTTACCTTAAGTGAAGTTCGATCATAAATATGCAAGGCATATGGCTCGAAGATATCATAAGAGAAGACATGTAGTATCGCTTTCTGGTACTGCTGGCACTAGGTTTAAAGAGTGGAGAAACTTTGGTACTCCCCTCTCCCTCCACAATCGGTGCGGTATGGGTTCATTACTTTGAAGGAATTTGTAACAATCATAACTAGCAGGTAAATGTTGATAAGTACGACCATCACATTTAGGGTTTTGGGGGGGGTTATGATATCTTCGAGCCAGATGCCTTGCATAATTATGATCGAACTTCACTTAAGGTAAGTTCCTTTGATCATTTAATTATGCGGCGGCATCTGGCTCTCGTATATCATAAGAGAAGACATGTAGTTGTTTAAAGAGTTATATTGTTACAAAACTGGGTACTGCTAAACGTCAACAGAACAAGGAGAAATTTGAGGGGAGAGCGTTCCTCTGATATGGAGTATTAGGTCCCTGGTTCTAGAATCGAACGAGCAAAAGCGAAATTATCATGCAAGGGACAATTATAGAACCGCGCAAACACTGTGGAGCGATGACCCCAACCCGCCGTTTGGTGGATGGTTTGTAAAGATACGCCCCTTCTAAAAGCAGAAGAAGTAGCAGCGTGGCGTGTGGAATGCGTGGTAAACAGGTCTGTATCGACGCCGGCTTCAAAGAGGATTTCTTTAATCCATCGACTGATCGTATCGCGGGACGCTCGATTATGCGGTTTTCTGGTTTGAATAAACAAGTAATCTGGGCTAGAATGTCGTATGTCTTCAGTTTCGTTGAGATAATTGAGTAATGTGGTTGCGGCACATATAGAAGGGTTTTCCTGAAAGAAGGATAGCTGAAGACAGGGTTGCGTTCCAGTCCAGGACGAAGTTTTGATTGTCTCCGTTATAAAAATTTGGATACCATCAGAGGACCGTTTGATGTTCGAGAGGCGAATTAAATGAATCGACTGGGTGCGATGTCCGGTTGTCAATAATAACAGTGTGGCAAGTTTTTGGGACAACTGTTTCAAGGTCAAGTTATCAGTGAAGAAACTTCCCAAATAGTCCAGAACGATTTGGGGGTCCCAAGTGAAACGATATTTCCTTTCAGATGGTCTTAGCTGGGAAATACCCTTCATGAATCGTTTAACGAGAGGGTCAGCCCCGATGTCGTAATTCAGAGTTAAAGCGAGCGCCGAGCGGTGACTGTTAAATGTTCCATATCTGCAACCTGTAGTGTCCAATACGTGCTGAAGAAAAACAAGAACTTGACTGGGCGTAGCCGAAAACATCGGCACCTTGTGTTCAATGCAGTAAGACCACCACATTTTCCACGTAGAATTATATTGCAATATTGTTGACTTGGCCACCGAATGGATGATGGTATTTATGGCTTCCTCAGGGACATTTCGGAAACTAAATGCTTGGCTGATAAAAGTCCTGCTACCAGGGTAAGCTGAGTTGACAGGGGGTGTGGTCGACTGCAAGGTAAAGATAACAAATCTGAACTTGGCGCAAACGTAAGAGGATCTTGTGTAAGTAACTTCAAGAAAAGGGGATACCAAGGTTGTGTGGGCCAGAAAGGCACAACCATAATGCCCTCCGCTTGGTCCCTCACAATTTTGTTGAGGCACCTCAAAATTAAACAAAATGGAGGGAAGGCGTAAAAGAAGAAACCTGTCCATGGAATTGTGAAAGCATCGACATGTTCTGATTCGGGATCGCGCAGTAGAGATACGTGTCTTCGACACTTGTGGTTAGCTTTAGAAGCAAAGAAATGAATTTGTGGAGCACCAAATCGTAACGTGATTTGGTTGAAGGCTCCGTCCGACAACTCATATTCGGTTTCCTCGGGAAGCCTGTGTGATTCCGAATCTGCTACTGTATTTTTCCCCGAGTTAATATATGAAGCAAAAAGCCATAAATTTCTTTCTTCGCAAAATTCCCAAATATCTCTTGCTAGGTTAGACAGCGCTGGGTATTGTATACTGCCCATGCGGTTTATGTATGATAAGGCAGTCGTATTGTCCGTTCTGATTAAAATGCTGCAAGATTTTTTATACTTTGCAAAGGATTTTAATGCGTAAGTAATTGCCAAAAGTTCTAGATAATTTATGTGATGTTGTTATTCAGTAGCAGTCCACCAGCCATGTGTCTTTTCGTCGTCGCAACAGGCTCCCCAGCCAGTAAGAGACGCGTCGGTATAAATTACAAAGTCGTAGTTGTCAAAACGTATGTCATTGTAAGAGGTTTGAATTGCTGATTCCCACCATAAGAAATCATTCTGCAAGGTTGAAGAAAGGGACATGTAGGTGTCATAATTCATATGGTGATCTCTTAACGCTTTGAACTTCTCCCGCTCGAATGCTTTAGTGTACATTAGTCCGTACTTTATCGCCGGACAGGCCGATACAAGTGTCCCTATAAACTGGGCAAAAACCCTAATTGAACAGCGGCTTCGGCTTTTAAAATCGCGAATCATATTAAGAGTCTTCTTGCGCTTTTCTAGAGGAAGGGAAATTGTCATGGTGTGGCTGTCCAAGATGAAACCCAAGAATTTGCATCTCTGCGATGGAATAGTTTGGGATTTATCCCAATTGATTAAAAACCCCAATGAAGTTAACACCTGGACAACCACAGAGACATTTCGAGAGCAAGCATCCCCCGAGTTCCCAAAGATGAGAAAATCGTCCAGGTAGATCACGCAACAAATGCCACGAGAGCGTAAACGGGGTGCAATAGGGCGTGTGAGTTTTGTAAAAACCTGAGGCGCTGATGCCAAACCAAATGGCATACAAGTGAATTCATATAATTGGCCATCATGTTCGAACCGAAGATATTTTCGATGGTCAGTGTC